AAAGTGCGTTTGAGATGGCTAGGTTGGCACAGGATAGGAGAGCATATACAGCTCTTATACATAGGGTCGCTATGAGTCGCAAGCAACTCGATGGCATATAACAGCAACTTCTAGTTAATCGACTGGAACAGATCCACAGCAGCTGTGATGACTCAGACTCTTTCTTCATTTTAACCATGCAGTGTTACCTTTCTCTGTTCACACTACAGCCTCTTGGTCTAGGTATAGATTTTGCCTGAGCACAATTAAGTGCTCTGAGATTCCCATTGTTCTCAATGTTAACCGTAGGTGTTTATGATTCACACAGTGAAATTCCTTTGCATAGTCAATAATCAAGCACGAATAGACATTCTTCTGGGATTCTGCACTTTAAGCCAGGATTCATTTGACATCAGCAATGATATCCCTGTTTCCATTGCTTCCTCTAAATCCTGCTTGAACTTCTGGAAGTTCCCTTTCAATGTATTTTTCTAGCCCCTTTGGAATGATCTTCAGTAATATTTTGCTTGCATATGATGTTAATCATATTATTTGATAGTTTCTACACTCTGTTGGATCCCCTTTCTTGGAAATGGTTACAAATATGGACCTCTTCTAATCTGTTGACTAGACAGCTGTTCTCCAAATTTCCTGGCACAGACATGTGAGCACATTCCAGGGCTGCATCTGTTAATGGAAACAATTCCATTGGTATCCTATAGATTCCAAGGGCCTTATTTTTGTCAATGCCTTCAATGCAGCTTCCACGTCCTCCTTCAATACCATTGGCTCCTGTACTTTCTGAAATTTTTCAGTGTCAGTTAGTTCTGTTTGGGTCAGCGATTCTGTGTATTCCCTCCGTTCACTTTTGATTCTTCCTGAGTCACTCAATAGCATCTTTCAATATTGTGACTTGAAGCTTAAATTTTTTTTTCAGTTCTCTCAACTTCAGAAATGTAGAGTTCTTGTTATTCTCCAATTCCAACTCTTTGTATATTGCATTATAATACTTCAGTGTAACTTCTTGAGTTTTCCTTTGAAGTCTTCGTTCAGTTCTTTTACTTTGGCAAATTTACCCTTTATTTTGGCTTTTTGATGCTTAGTTTAATTTTCAGAATCTCTTCTGACATACATTTCAGTTTTTTCTTTCTTTGTATTGATCTTTTGCTCTCCTCATTGATACGCTTGATATCATCCCATAACTCATCTCTTCTTTGATCATTTGTGTTCACTGCTTCAAATCTATTAAGAAGATTTTGAAATTGAAATGGAATAGATTCAGGACCATATTTTGGTTCTCATGGACTTGTTTCCATTTTTTTTCAGCTTTGATTTGAACTTGCACTTGAGTAATTTATGGTGTGACTCACAGTCTGCCCCTGGTCTATTTTTGACTGCTGAT